GCCAAACCCGTGAGTCGTTATGTCACACAATTGTCTCAATTGATTGAAAGCACTTCAGTTAATGGCAGCGAAACGAGCGAATCCGTCGTCAATGACGGGACACCCGTTTTGCTGGACACGAGTTCGCCCATTAAGGCAGCGATGATCTCATTTGATGACCACTCGTCGCCGCTTAAGAATCAAAGTGACCGCCAATCGGTCCAAAAGGAATCCATCGGACAATTGATGCAAAAGTCAATTGTCAGCGATTTTGACGATTGGAGCCGAAGATTGCATAAACAGAGCGACAATGGAGTGAAGGCTTGTTTGCGGACAAAGACACTGAAAGTGTTGAAAGCGATGAAACAGTCGAGACTTGAATTCAGTCAAAGAAATTCACTCATCAATAGAGCGATAACCAAATCATTGAGATTAAGATTAACGAAAGCGGAGAGCGTTTGCGGTATTTCTCACTTATACTGCAAAGTGTTGTCCGACGAGACCAACGATTTCGAGGCCAACACATCGCTTGTTGTGCTCGTGAATTACAAGATAGAGGAAGCGCTGGATCTGAACACCGGTTACACATTGAATGTGTACCCGCGATGGACACGACTCGACACCGAACGGCAAATCTATATTCTAAACGCATTTAATGTGGAATTTGTCGAAAGCGAGGATCCGATGGACGACCAAATCAGTGATGATTGTGATTATTCAGTCTATTGGCAAAACAATAGACCGTAAACTTATTATTATTACTTAAAACACACTATTTCTGACTTGTAAAGTATTACTTACATTACCATTAATGATACCATTATATAATTACTGTATATTTTAAATTATATTCTTTTTGTTTGTTTTTGCATTGAATCTAATTGTTGACCATTTTGTGTTCCTATTAAATAAAACCTTAATTTGTATGAATGATTGAAACCCTGTTATCCATATATCTAACTGTAAAACAACTTAAACAACACTGAATTGGTTAAAATTAATAAGTGTTTAAATCTTATAAAAATATTATCACGATTTACTAAACAATTGAATTTTAATTATCAGACAAAAAGTTTAGGTTTGCAAACATTTTTTTTGAAACACTTATTGATAAATATATATTACAATATTTTCTTTAAATTACAGACACATTATAAATATAAGGTATTTATCGGGCAAACGATCGGGAATACTGTGGATATCGAAAGTCATACCGATTTCCACTAATCTTTGTCCACCGAAGCGGTAGATTTGCTTCCGATTTATTGACCCGATTTGAGGACATGCCGTACAAATCGCGCGAATTGTACCGATCGGTGGCATTACGAGCGCCCGAAGGTTGCGGCCGATAGTTGTTGGCGTTGGACGAGCGCTGGTTTGGGCCAAACGAGCGCAGCGGCGGATTCATACCGCGGTTCTGACGGCCGAAGTCTTTGTTATTGCGTTTAGGGCCGGAATCGTTGCGCTCCTGCGCTATGAAGTCGTCGACGTGCATAGACGGCGGGCGCGATGTGTTGGGCGGCCGCGACCGGAACGGGTCGTTGAGTCGTGTGAACTGTCGCCCACCCCTACCCCGCGGCGCTTGTATTCGTTTACTCATAATCATGGGATCTTTGGGCATATTTCTGATGTATGGCATCGGCAGACATTTCTCGGAAACGTCGTTCTCTTTGCTCTGCGACTCATTCATCGGTTCTGACCATAACTTTTCGAGATTCGCTCGAATGTCGAATTCTAGGCCAAAATATTTGGCCGAAACATCCATTAAATCAATTTTAATGGCGTCCGACAAATCCATTTGGTCCGAGTCGTCGTTCGTAACGGACACCCATTCGGGAACTAACGGCTCGTCTTCTAAGACAAACACCGAACGGCTGGCGAAGTAATCGCTTAACGATTCTGTATTTAACACATTGTTTTCATTTGAATTGATTTCGGTTTTATTATTTTCAGTTNAACCTATTTAAAGCCTTCGCATCAAAGTTTCGCTCTCATTGGAAACCAGGGCTCTCTTGTCGTCAATTTTGTGAAGCCATCGGTTCTCATAATTAAATCTATTGTAACATATTTGGTGTCCGCTCGAGGAATAGACTTCACAGACATCTCTCCGATTCCCGTATTGATGAGAATATATTCAGTGCTGGCATTAGTGCCGACATCAGCGCCAACACAACTACTGATGGCATCGATTGCTCAACAAATTCAGTACGAAATCAGTGAAATACTTCTCATTTACACCGAACTGTATATCAGTGGCAGTGAATCGGACGAAGCCATTGGTAAAAGCGTTTGGACTAAAATGGCTAAACACGTGATCGATTACACCCTCTCATCGCCGCTGGCTTTTGTTCACGGGCTCACACTCTTGTCGGATGTGTTGCCCCAACCATTACCACTGCTGGTAAAGCAACCGATGCTCAGTCACGAAGTGCTCAAAACGGTTAACTTCAGAAAGTTATGGTCACTACACCTGCATGTGCTCAACGATCGCATCGAGACATTGGTCTCCAATTTCATAACAAGTAATTCACAACCGATTCAAATGTTGTTGAAAAGAGTTTGTATCCAATTGTGCGATCTGTCGGTCCCAACGGTGACCACTGTTACCAAATCTATTTTCGACGAATTGCTCTCAAGTCTCGAAACGTATCACTTCTCGACTAATGAGTCCCGAAATGTTGCCATTTGTCCGACGGTTCGCATTTTGAATGTCATACAAGACTTGTCGACAAACATTCCGTTCAGAATTGGCTTTTTGTCACATTTAAAGAATTGTAGCCAAAAACCCGATAAAAGTGCTCCCATTTTAACAAGACTTCAATCCGTTATGAATAAATCGGTTCAAATCAATTCAAACGAGTTCTTAACAGTAAGCTATTTACTAATTAATGTCTATTTATTAAGTTAACTAACAATTGTTAATTTTGAAACAGTTTATACTTCAGTCCAATCCAGACACTGATGTCGTGACAACTGAGACCAATAATGTGGACACAACTGAAAATAATAAAACCGAAATCAATTCAAATGAAAACAATGTGTTAAATACAGAATCGTTAAGCGATTACTTCGCCAGCCGTTCGGTGTTTGTCTTAGAAGACGAGCCGTTAGTTCCCGAATGGGTGTCCGTTACGAACGACGACTCGGACCAAATGGATTTGTCGGACGCCATTAAAATTGATTTAATGGATGTTTCGGCCAAATATTTTGGCCTAGAATTCGACATTCGAGCGAATCTCGAAAAGTTATGGT